TTGCTTATCAGTTAGAACTACCGGATGAACTCAGTTTGATTCATAACACTTTCCATGTTTCTAACTTGCGAAAGTGTTTGGCAGAGCCGAGTCTAGCAGTACCGTTACTGGAGGTAAAATTGGATAACAAGCTAAACTTTGTGGAAACTTCTGAGGTCGTCACTAACTGGAAAACCAAAGTGTTAAGGAACAAAGAAATTAACCTTATGAAAGTTCAGTGGCATTTCCATAAGGGTTTAGAAGAAACTTGGGAGTTGGAATCAGAAATGAAAGTCGAGTATCTGTGGTTGTTCGATTGATAGAATTCTGGGACAAAATTCTGTTGAGGGGTAGATAATGTGATAACTGGGTTCCGGTTATATAACTTGAGGTAATTATTTGGTTATTATATAATTATGATTTGTATGCATGAATATGTGTGTTCACCATCTATGATATATGCATGCATGTTTATGCATGTGAATGTGAGTTGAAGGAGGGGGGATTTATATTTTTCAAAGTCTTCACCGCCTTCTTTTGCTAAGGTATAAAAAGAAGAAAATTTTAAAGGCATTTAGTTGCCATTTTTGGAAAGGAGGAAATCTGTGTTTTTTCTCTCTTTTATGCTAAGCTGTGTGAAGATTTTGTGATCATATTTCTGGAAGCTGATTTCTGTGTGTGTATTTCATCTTCAAAATCTTGCATCTAAGGTGAGTTTTTATAATGGTTTTGAATCTGATTATGATCTTTTAATGGTACTCTATTTCTACATGTTGTTGTTAAGAACAAAATGTTGTATATATTCTTATGTTCTTATGCATGGTCCGATGAGGGTTTTTTATCGGATACAATGTTGTCCGATAAAGGGTTCTTATCGCGCAGGGTAGTGTCCGATGAGGACACTCATTTTTTAATGATGTCTGATGAGGACCTTTACCGAACGAAACTTTGTCCCGTGAGGACCTTTATCGGACAAGGTATTGTCCGGATTGGGTATCTTATTGCCTAAGTATTATACGGATTAAGTGTTATGATTTCAAGTGTTGATCGGATTGGATGATTCATCGCCCAACACTTTATCCAGTGAGAGTGCTTATCGGACAAAGCATTGTCCTGACTGAATGTTTATTTTGTTTAAGTGTCGATCGGTAAGGATAGTTACTGGTCATAGTTTTAACCGAAGAGGATGTTATCGACCATATTGTTGGCCGATGAGGGCAGTTTATTGCCCACATGCTGTCTGATGAAAGGCAACCGTCGGTTAAGTATTGTCCAGTGAAGTGATGTCCGGTCAAGTGTTGTCCGGTCAAGTGATGTCTAGACAAGTGTTGTCCAATAAGGACTAATATTATCCATCGTGTATCTTTCAAATGCTGATTTTAAATTGAGAAAGGTAATGTTTCTTTCAAAATTGTTGAGAAGAGTAAACTGTTTTTGAAAGTTGTTTTGAGATGATATTGGAATTGGGTTTAGAACTGTGAAAGTTCTTAAGAAAAAGTTTCTGAAATGAAACTATTTTTGGGCCATTATTGGTTAAAATAACAGATTTATCTGCATTTAAAAGGGTAACATATCAAAGAGAGGTGTATCATGGATAAGGGTGTCATATCAAGGAGAGGTGTATCTTGGGATAAGGGTGACAATTGTGATATTTGTGTTACATTTATAACTCTTGTTGTCATATCCATAAGATATTAAGATGCAATAATTCAGTGTTAACATTTCTTTGTGACATAAAGACTTAGAATTATTGCTTTTATTAAAATGATAACAATAATGTTACTGAGAATGGGAAAATGGCTTATAGCCAGAGACATTTATTGCTCGTTTTTCGAATAATAAATGTTTTTGGATATTATGTTTCGGAGGGTCTTTGGTTATTATTAAATTCAATTTTCTTATGAGTTTAAAATAGTTCTTATTTTAAAAAGCTTTAGTTAATAACCAAGAGCTCTGGTTGATGGTATTTCTTTATATAGTTTTGAAAGTTGAGATTATAAGCTCTCATCTATATGAGATTTAAGATCTTTGGGGAGCTATGTACCGAATATCTATGAGGAACTTAGTGGTTATATTTTCCTATGTGGTAAGGAATGCATTTTTTCACTTGCAGTTGGTTTGTATTATGAGAGTTATACTTTATCAAAGTTGTTGGATGTTCATATATGACTTTTATAGGAGGTTTTGGTAATTTTCACCTTGTAATTGCAAAGAAAGAAGATATCTCACTAGATCTCAAAGTCTAACCCTCATTTTGTGTTTTAAAATATGCATTGCAGGTCAAGCTATGTCCAGGGATAAGGGGAAGGGGAAAATGTGAATTATTTTCTTATTGTGCTTACCTGTTCTATGAAGATCAACATGATATCTGATGATTTTTTTTTTGGAATACTTGTTATTTTATACAAGTGGTGTACAATAATGTTATTTTTGGGTTGTAAATTATGTAATATATTTTTTAGTACTGTTGGAACAGAAGTTGTGTTATTGTATTTCTTAATAGTTGAGCTTGGTTTGAAAAAAATATACCATGCTTGAGCTCAATTATTTTTTGAGTTATCGAGCTCGAGCTTGATGCTCTTTTATGAGCTCGTACTTGCAACCGATTAACTCGTTTATTAGCTCGAGGTTGATAATTTTTATCTTTTTATTATATTATTTATGAAAATATGAGAGCATGTTTGACTCGAAAAAGTATATGCTCGAATAGCTCGGTTCGGCTCGACTTGATTGAAAAAACTTAATCGGGCTTTTGAACGAACCGAGTCGAATATTGGTTTTATGAAGCTCGACTCGTTAAATTATATGAATTTAGTTTTGTTCAAGATCGACTCGAATTCAAAAATTATTAAGCTCAAATCGAGGTAAACGAGCTCAAGATCAGTTTAGTTTTGTTCGCTTACACTTCTATGTAAATCCCATCCTTTTATTTATGTATTTATTTTAACATAATGAATAAGATATGTTCTTGTGCTTTAAAGATATTTTTAAGTTCATTGATATATTTCTTTCAGAAAAAAAAAAGAGTTCGTTGAAATATCTATACTATTGTATAAAGCATTTGGCTAAAACTCTTAAAAACTCTTAAAAACTCTTAAAACTCTTAAAAACTCTTAAACCCGTTCATCCCAATCCGATTTCATCCCTATCCGATTTCATCCCTATCCGATTTCATCTCATATATGAATTTGTGTAACTAACTGCAGATAAACACAMTCAAATACAGGATAAACATATCATTTTAAATATAAAAAATCTAAAATATAATTAG